GTACCTCCATTTCACCAGTGGGCAGCAGGGTGCAGGGAATGGCTCAGCCATGGGTCCAGACTTGCTCACAGCAAAGGAGGACCTTTGTGGAGCTTGGTGCCACTCCCTGCCCTCCAGCCCACCTGCTACAGGCACAAGGCCTGTGCCTGCAGGATGCCCAAGCAAGCATTTGCCTTGGCTGCAGGATGCCATGCAGCATGCCGCAGAGTCGCGAGATGCTGAGCTAGCCCAGAAGTTGCTGCAGTGGTTCCTGGAGGAAGGCAAGAGGGAGTGCTTCGCAGCCTCTCTCTTCACCTGCTATGACCTGCTTCGCCCAGACATGGTGCTCGAGCTGGCTTGGAGGCACAACCTCGTGGACTTGGCCATGCCCTACTTCATCCAGGTGATGAGGGAGTACCTGAGCAAGGTAGGTGCCGGGCCGGCTGCAGCTCCCTGGCCCCTGTGTGGCACAGCCCACCCCTAGCAGTGACTCTGGCCGCAGGTCTTAAGGGTGGGCCCCTTTGGGGCCAACCAAGATTCCCCAGGTAGCCCTGGCCCGCCTTCAGGAGTGGCTGCTTTCCTTGATGCTCAAGTGGTTTTCTGCCCAACATTAAGCCCCTCCAGAAAATCATCATGGGGAGTGCCCACTGGCAGCAGCCCTCCTGCAGACTCCAGCTGTGCAGCTGTCCCAGTGTGCACACTGCTGGGAGCACAGCAGGCATGCTCGTCCCCAGCCCTGGACTTCATCAGGGTGACAGTGAGGTGGCTGGCAATCCCAGCTCCCCGTGGAGCTCCCAGTGGCATCTGGGGGTGCAGCTGTTAGCATACCTGTTGGTGGTAGCTGCGTTTTGCTGAACACATAGTAGGAGTATTCACAGATGCACTGAATCTTTCTAATGGCCATAGGGAGGATGACTCTCTGCCTCACTGAAGTGACAGTACCTGATTGTAAAACTCTCCCTGGGTGTTGAAGTCCTAGGAGTCCCTGCTGGGACCTAGCTTTAGCCACTGTCCAGAGACCTGTGTCAGCAGTGTCATCTGGTACAGTTTGTTGTTTCTAACACTGGAAAAGTCACTTCCAGTAGCATCTACTTGCCCATCTAACCTCCTTTAAGCCAGATGGAGACCCTTGGAAGGCACTCATGCTGAAGCATCACTCAGTGGAGCAAGGGAAGGGAGGGGCCTCCCAGGTGAGTGGGAGGTAGGAGGGAAACAGGAAGGCGGGCTTATGCTGCCAGCTTTAGCCTAGAAGTGCCTGGAGGGCTGCCTGCCACCTGCAGAGCCTCTAGGCGGCTGCCCAACCCCTAGTGAAGGCCATCCCAGAGGCCATTCGAGGCCATCGCCCTTCTGTAGGACAGTGTGACCCCATCCCATCTGCATAGCACGCCTGAGTGAGAGACTCCCTGATGACTGTCAAGGGGTGGGGAGGAAGGGACAGCCCTGGCCACATGGCCTGAGATGCGTGGGCTGCCAGGGGACATGGACTGGTTGGATTGACAAGGGCCCTGGTTCCCCCACCACAGTGGATGGCAGCTCCCTACAGGCAGCATGTGTGGTATGTGGTTTGTGGTGTGCAGTGTATGGTGTGCGTTGTGCAGTGTCTGGTGTGTGCCTGTGGAAGCTGCTTTCACCATGATGAGCAGGTTTTCCCATCCCTCGGGTGTCTTTCCTGAAAGCAGTCTGTGTTCTGAGAACCAGCACAAGGAAAGAAGAACGTGCTTGAATCTCTTCCTGGCGGTAGAGGTCCGTGGGTTAGTGTCAGAGGAACTCAGGCTCACCAGGCCTCAGGGATGTCATCGCTGTGGGGGTCAAAGTACTGTTGTGGGGATCCCCCAGGACTTTGAGGAACACATTCCCTTTCTGTTGTGGATGATGGAGTTAGCAGCCACTATCACCTTGGTCTGCACTGTGGCTGCCCAGCCTTGGCCCAGGGTTCCCAGACTCCACTGGCCCTGGGAAGTGGTGGCTGCTGCAGCACCTGCCCTGCTGCTGCCCACCTATTTCTGCCGGGGCAGATGAGACCCCTGTCATGGGGAGAGTTCAAGGAGAGGAGGGGGCTGGCAAGGGGTTTCCCAGTCAGTGTCGTGGGGTTGTGAGCTGATTGTCAGCTTGAGCTGGGGCCCAGCTGACTCCACACAGCAGTGCTGGGAGAATGAGGGCACAGACAAGAAGCACAGTCCCTTCCTGGTGGACAGCTGGGCCCAGGGCCTCGTGGCTCATCTGGGAAGCTCAAGGGCCATCCCTCTGAGATGCCCCCAGCACTCTCCCAGTTTAGGGAGGGTACAGGCCTAGCTCACCCCTCACCCTAGGTGTCAGCGAGTGTGCCCCCTGCTCCCTCCTCACTTCTCAGCCCCCCAGACCCCAGCTCATGGGGGCATATTCTTGTTTCTTACTCAGTGCATTTGTGAGGGGATCCTAGCTGCACAGTTGCTGCCGCCCCTCCAGTGCAGTGCTGCCACCTCACTCTCTGGCCATGGGTGGGGTCAGTGTCTGGTGAAGCCTCAGGGAAGAGTGAGGAGGCAGTTTGTGCTCAGTACTCAGGTGAAGTGTCTAGGTGCCAGGTGACTTGTCTCTGAGAGCCACATGATCTCTCTGCTGGTTTGGAGGGGCGGGCAGACTAGACTGACTGGATTCAGAAGCAGGCAGTGTTCCCTGCACATGGCCCCAGCCCTGCAAGTCAGTAAATGGCAGTATCCCTGTATCCAGAGGAGGACTTGGCCCCCCACGAGCAGGCCATACTCACAGCCTGTAACAACTGACTGCCCCAGTCCCCACTGGGAAGCTCTGGGGGCCCCACCTGGTGCTCCGTCTCAGCCCAGCTACTGAGGCTTCACCTCTCCATGCCTTGCTGCATTATAAAAGTGCATGGGGTGAGGACTGAGCCACTCCACCTCTGCCCATGTGCACCTCCTCCACTGTCATTCTCCTGGAGGCCCTGTGTCCTGACCTTCCACTCCACTTTCACCTAGAGGCCGGGACTGTACTCTGTCAAGTGGGTGCTCACATGCTCTCGCCTCCTTGCAGGTGGACAGACTGGATGCCTTGGAGAGTCTGCACAAGCAAGAGGAGCATGTGATGGAGCCGGCCCCTCTCATGTTTGGTAGGTGGCACCTGTAGCCCCCAACCCCCTGGGGAGGGAGCAGGGAGGGAGTCAAAGGCCCACTGCCCTTTCCTGACTGGGCTTTGGATGGGGATGGGAATAGATGGGTGGGGGCTGGAAGGATCCCACTGGCTGCTGGGTGTGGAGAAGTGTACGTCCAGGAATGTTGGCATGGCCACTGTCCTCCCTGCTGTAAGGGTGCCTGCCTTCTGATGGGGCTGCCTGCCTAGCTGTGAACTGCTGCTGTGTCCTGCTGGGCCTGGCCCCTGGGCAGCAAGGCTGTTGCTGGTGTGTGCTGGGAGGAACTTTGCACCTGAGAACCTGCCCAGGGCAGCCTGGCTGTCGAGCAGACTGGAGAGACTGTGGGGTGCTGGGACACTGCTGGGCCAACACAGGCCTGAGGGTGTGGTGTGAGTGTGTAGCATGCTGGTGGGTCTCGAGCCTCCTGCTGAGTGTGTCCCTCCACCATTAATGCCATTCTGGTTTTTTTAGATTTTCATGGGCATGAATGAGACCCAGCTGATTGCACTAAGTAAGTGTCCCATTTGGGGACAAGCTTATCCTCTAGCCAGGCCAGCTTCTCTGGCTGACCACACACTCCTTGCCTCTGGGTGCCTATTCTCTCGGTGCCTCAGCTTCTGGGTGGTAAGGGCTGGTCCTATAGACCCTGCTTCCTGGCTGCCCTGAGTAGCTGGGCTCATTGTGGGCTTTCACCCTCTGCAGGCCAGCAGCTGAGGTTGACAGCAGGCCCTGCCAGCTTCCCCTATGGATATGCCTCTGCTCCCAACTTCACCAGCCTCCAGTGTACAACTTCTGCGTGTAGTGGGCGCTGTCTCCACCCACTCTACCTGCAGAGTTACTAACTTCTTCAAGGAGTGTGTCACTCCAGCAGCACAGGGGACCGCAGTGGGAGGCAGGGACACCTGGACAATATTTATTTTTGGTGAAACCCAATGATGGCAACCTCTGAGCCATCCTAGAGCCTGAGGAGGCCAGGGTAGAGGCTGACCATTTTCAGCCGCCAGCAGGGTCTGGACTCTGGGCCCTCCTGCTGGAGCCAGGCATTCCTCCTGGGCGCCCCCGACTGGCTGGAGCTGCCCCCTCCAGGCCAGTTTGAAGACTACATGAACACGTCTCGTTTGGAGGTACCGGACCTCATAACAGGACTCTGAGCCTCCTGGCAATCTTAAATATTAAAGTCGGTTTATCCAGGCAAAGGTGCTCTGCTTGGTGCTGGTGTGGGTGGGAGGGACAGGGGCCAGTTTCCTAGGCCCCGCAGTCCATTAAAGATTTGCTGGGCCCTCTGGGGGTGTGGGACCTGCGCCCAGAGAAGCTGCCTAGGAGAGTATAGCCGCTTGCATTTGGGGTCTTTCCGGACCTTGTTCGCTGAACGCAGGAACTCTAAATCCGGGAAAGGTGTGGGTGGAAACCGGCAGGTGAGTCCCAGCCCGTGGCCGCTGCGGGAGGGGATCCGGCTCGCACCCGCCACCCGCCGCCTTCCTCCAGCTTCGAAACGTTAGAGTTCCTCAGGGACTGGGCTAGCCCCACGTGTTTTCGGGGAGGGTATGCCCCTGGCCTCCGGGATCCCCGGGGATCCCGCTGCTCTCGCCAGTCGCGCAGACCCGAGGCCCGCTTCCCTGCGGAGCGGCATACTGTGCACCTTGACCCCATAGCTCGGGGCTGGGCCACGGCTCCGCCTCTCGCAGCCCCGCTTCCCGCAGCCCCGCCCCCGCCCCGCCGCTCGCGGTCGCCCAGAGACTCGGCCATTGGCTGCGCTTTGGCCCCGCCCCTACGCCTGCCTCGGCGCGCCCCGCCCCGGCCTCAGTTTCCCGGCCCGCTTGGGGCGGGCTGGGGGCGGGGCCCGACTCGGACCACGCGGGGCGGGACCTGGAGCTGACGCGGCCGCCCCGCCCCCGGGACCATAACCGGCCGCTGCCGCCACCGCGGACCGAGCGCGGAGTTCAGGAGGCTCGGACCCGAAGCCGCCACTGGGCGCCCGGCCTCCCGCCCGCCATGGCCGCGCCCAGCGCCCCGCGCGCTCTGGCGGCCGCCGCGCCTGCGTCCGGGAAGGTCAAGCTGACGCACCCGGGGAAGGCGATCCTGGCAGGTGGGCCCCTCCGGGACGCGGACCCCACTCCCGCCACGCTTCCGGGTGGGCCCGGGACGCTGAGGCCCCGCCCCACTTCCGGGTTGGGCCCTGGGTTGGGAGTCGTGGGGGCGCGGTCCTGGTCCCCACCCCGCGCGCTGGGGCTCGCCCGCCTGCCGCCTGTCACCCCCGCGCCTCGCCGGGACAACGGGGTGGGGGCATGGAGTCGTGGGGCCCCAGCCCAGGTTCCCGCGACATTGGCGCGGCGGCCGCGCCGGGCAAAGTCCGAGACGGGGGAGGGGCCCGAGCGCCAGCGGCCGGGCGGGGGTCTGAGGAACCGGTGCCCGGTCCCTGCAGGCGGCCTGGCGGGTGGCATCGAGATTTGCATCACCTTCCCCACTGAGTACGTGAAGACGCAGCTGCAGCTGGACGAGCGCTCGCACCCGCCGCGGTACCGGGGCATCGGTGAGGAGGGGGAGGCCGCGGCGCCACGGGGGGCGGGTACCCAGGGCGGCGGCACCGAGGGCAGTGGGGTCCTGACGGCCCCCTCCCGCAGGGGACTGCGTGCGGCAGACGGTCCGCAGCCATGGCGTCCTGGGTCTGTACCGCGGCCTCAGCTCCCTGCTCTACGGCTCCATCCCCAAGGCAGCCGTCAGGTGAGGCCTGGCCCGGGGCTGCTGCGGGAGGAGGGTCTCGGCCGTGGCAGCCCCTCTCACCTGCCTCCCGCCTCCAGGTTCGGAATGTTCGAGTTCCTCAGCAACCACATGCGGGATGCCCAGGGACGACTGGACAGCACGCGCGGGCTGCTGTGCGGCCTAGGCGCCGGCGTGGCCGAGGCCGTGGTGGTCGTGTGCCCCATGGAGACCATCAAGGTGGGGAAGGTCCTGGCGAGGACCCCGGACACGCAGGGAGTACGGAGACTGGCGGCCGCACTGGCCCGGTGCTCCAGGGGCAACCGGCAAGCTGGGGAGGGTCTCCTGGACGCGGGGTGACCGCGGGGCCTTGGAGCAGGACGCCTGCCACGAAGGGCCATCCGTGGAGGCTGAATCTATGCTAAAGGCAGCCTTATTTACAAAATGCTTTTATAAAGCAGAAAACAAAATGACGCGTTCACTGCGAAAACTGGAAAAGAGCGACAAACGTAAAGGTAGAGGCGGCTCACCAGGGCTGCCCTGTGTCCCGGAGCATGGTCTGTGCGGGCTGCCCTGTGTCCTGGGGCATGGTCTGTGCGGGCTGCCCTGTGTCCTGGGGCATGGTCCGTGCGGGCGGCCCAGGGCGGCCTTGGCTACACTGCTTCTGGGGGAAGAGCTGCAGCCCCAGTTTCCTCCACCCTGGATGGGCCCTGGGCCTGCCTGCTAACCAGGACCCACTCAGGTGGCAGCCGAGAACCTGCGCTTTTGCTTCTCTCTCTCAGGTGAAGTTCATCCACGACCAGACCTCTCCAAACCCCAAGTACAGAGGATTCTTCCACGGGGTTAGGGAGATTGTGCGGGAACAAGGTGCGCCACTGGACCTTCCCGCTAGGGCTCAGGGACCTGGGCCAGGGTGGGAAGGGCCTGCACCTCCCATCCTGCCTTGGGCTCTGTGCAGCACCCACCCTCCACACACACCAATTCCCAGCCAGGGCCTGAGAGGCTGCAGGGCAAACCCGTGCCTGCCTTCCCCCAGGGCTGAAGGGGACGTACCAGGGCCTCACGGCCACCGTCCTGAAGCAGGGCTCGAACCAGGCCATCCGCTTCTTCGTCATGACCTCCCTGCGCAACTGGTACCGAGGTGTGTCTGCACCACAGGGCCCCTATCTGCACAGGGCCAACTGCTCTCCTCTCCTTGAGACCACCCCTGGGCGGCGGGCACCCACCTTTTGAGGTGCTGATCCAGGCTCCTCCTGGTACCCTCTGACCACACCTTACCCCTCATATCCAGGGGACAACCCCAACAAGCCCATGAACCCTCTGATCACTGGGGTCTTCGGAGCTATTGCAGGCGCAGCCAGTGTCTTTGGAAACACTCCTCTGGATGTGATTAAGACCCGGATGCAGGTGCAGGGACTGGGAATGCGATGGGAAGGGGGCACCGGGCCAGAGCTAGCTGCTGAGCCCCTGCCTGCTGATGTCCCGCAGGGCCTGGAGGCACACAAATACCGGAACACGTGGGACTGTGGCTTGCAGATCCTGAGGAAGGAGGGGCTCAAGGCGTGAGTGGGGGAGGGGCAGGGCTATTCCCCACCTCAGACCTTTCTGGGCCTACCTGGCCTTCCCACGCCCTATGCTGTCCCCTTCAGGCCTCTGTGCCTCCCCCTTCAGCATCTGGGGATTGCCTTGTGCAGGGACACTGCACTGACCTGCCTTCCTCTCCCCACCCCTCCTCCCACCCAGATTCTACAAGGGCACTGTCCCGCGCCTGGGCCGGGTCTGCCTGGATGTGGCCATAGTGTTTATCATCTATGATGAAGTGGTGAAGCTGCTCAACAAAGTGTGGAAGACAGACTAAGCCTAGAGAGGCTGTAAGGGGACCGCCCCAGGCACCTCCAGAGTGCCCCGCCACCTTTGTCTCACATGATTCCAGTGCAGTAGTGCCAAAAGGCCCTTCCCACGTCCCTCGAGCTCTGTAGCCTGGTCTGTGCATTGTGGCTGTCAAGTCCATGTGTCCCCCCTGTGGTCTGTGTGACACCACCACTGTGTCCTGGTGTCTGGCCCAGCCATGGCTGGGTGTGCATCTGGCCTGTGACCCTGTGCCCACTTGTCCGTGTGCTTACTGTGAGCCCTGTGCCTGTGTTTCATGTTCTGTGTCATGTGACCTGTGCCCCGCCTCCCGGGGTGCCCGTGTGGCCTGGGTCCTCGGCCCTGTAGCCCTGGCCCGGTCCCAGTCCGGTGCCTTCCACCCTGCCCCGGCCTACCACAGCTGCCTCCGGGCCTCGGCCTGGCTTCACCGCATTCCAGGGGCTGCAGCCCCTCGCTTCTCCCGCCATTGGCCTTAACTGGCCCTCGGGCCCTCCCTCCGCCCGGGACAGGGTGGCACCCACCACTCTCAGGACCACCCTGCCAAGGCAGAATAAACCGGATCCTGTTGTAGTCTCCTGTCTTGTGTTCGTCCCTGTGTGGGCCCATCTGTGCATGCGATTGGTGGCTGTGCCTCTTCAGGGGACCAGGCCACCTTCATCTGAGGACACTGCAGTAGGGGTACAGGGAAAGCCTAGTGTCCACCCAGGAAAGGGCAGCTGTGACCACAGTGTTGGCTCCCTGAGAAGCCCAGCGCCAGGCCAAGAAGGATCTGGGCTGCACCCTGGCCTTCTCTGTGGCCTGTGGGCAAGATCCCATGATATGGGTAAAAGTGTGTGTTCACAAGGCCTCAGGGTGGCCTGGCAGAGAGCAGTGTTCAGAGCAGGGGGCTGGGCCCAGGAGATGGGGTCCCCAGGACGACTGCCTGCCCCTCACCCACAGGGAATCTTAGGGAAGGGTTGGGTTGCCCAGGGCCCCTCCGGGGCATGCCCAGCTCCTGAGTGAGTGAAATGCGCTGCTTGTGGGGAGGAGGAGATGGGGGCATGCTGGGGCCTCTGAACTCCTGGTGGGGGTGTCTGGCCTCTGCTGCCCAAAGGCTCTGGGCAGGGGCCCTTCCTTGTTCCTTCACCCAGGCTGGGAGGCAGCTGCCCTGGGGCAGCAGGGAGTGGGGCTGCCTGGCCAGGGCTCTCTGGGCACCTCATGCCACAGCCAGGAGCCTCAGAGGAAAGTGTCCCTCTGGCTGGAGGCCAGAGCTCTGAACTGGCATGTCCCCATGGGGCCAAGCTCCTCTTTCCACAGCCTATGAGCCACGTGGAAGACACTCGGGCAGGATGGGATCAGTCAGTGCCCCTGGCTGTGCACAGAAGCCAGCTTCCTGTCCAAGTGCCTCCGTGGGGGAAAAGTCATGCAAGCATTTGGCTCAGACTGGAGAATAAGCTTTTGCCAGCCAGAAACTCCGTGTGAACAGGTCCCGTCCCTGGGGAGACTGTCCTGTCCTGGTGACCTCACACAGCACCAGATCCCTGGAATCCCGGGAATGTGCAGCTGGGGAGGAGTCTGGGGTGCAAAGGGCCAGAGGTGAGAGCCAAGCATGGGTTTGGGGGTACAAAGGGAGCAAAGGGTTTTGAAGCCTCCTTGGGGAGAGCCGCAGGGCTGGGGAGGGCTGGGGGTGGCTCAGCACTCAACCTGTGCTGTGACGGGATGGCCATGCACTCTCCATGCTCATGGCAGACTTCCCAATCTGTTGCTACAGAAGAGAAAGGGCCCAGGCAACAGAGCCTCCCCTCCTGCCCCTGTGCACTAGGGCATGCAAGTGCCACCACGAGAACCCCACACCAAGATGCTTCCTGTCCCTGGAGCTCAGGCCACTGGTTCTGCACCTCAGAAGCTTTGTTGTGGGCTGGCAAGCAGGCAGTGGGCCACACCAGTCCACAGTGCCAGCCCTGAAACCTGGAGGGGCACTCAGCGCTCTGGGGCCTGCCCTCCAGGCCTCAGCATCCACTTGCTGTACTCCCTGCAGGTGCTGAGAATCATGCTTAGTGCAGAGCAAGCCCTCACACATGGCAGCTTTTTTCTTGGGGTTGCAGGAGGCTGTTTACAGTCTCCCCAGGTTCCAGGCAGTTCTGGGAGCAGCCAAGGCCTCGCAGCTGCCTGAAGGGAACCCCCCGCCCCCACATCCTGACCTCCAGAGATGCCAGCCACTCACTGCACACCTGCATCGAGTCCTGTCCCTGTCCCTCTCCAAAGGAAGGGGCTGAGGCTGCACTAGCTGAGAGCAGGGTGTAGGATGGCATGGGTCTCCATCCTCCCTGGACCCCTGCCATTCTCAGGGTCACCTTGTTTATGCTTTGAATCACAGGACAGACATCAGGTAGCACAGCCAGAAATGTTGATCGAGCTGGGTCTGAGTCCCTTGGGGCCACGAGCATGGAGGAGCTACCTACTCTGGTAGATAGAACCCACACTGTAGGCTGCTTCACACATTCCCTCAAGAAGTAAGCAGCCTCCAGTCTTGGGGCTGAGACCCAAGGGGAAAGGTGTCTGTGCAGGAAAGAGCTGGAGGCTGGAGAGGCAGGCAGGGGCCTGGAGGGAGCCAAGTTGCCTTTTTTTTTTTTTTTTTTTTGAGACAGAGTCTCGCTCTGTCGCCCAGGCTGGAGTGCAGTGACGCGATCTCAGCTCACTGCAAGCTCCACCTCTGGGGTTCACGCCATTCTCCTGCCTCAGCCTCCTGAGTAGCTGGGACTACAGGTGCCCACCATCACGCCTGGATAATTTTTTTTTTTTTTTTTTTTAGTAGAGAAGGGGTTTCACTGTGTTAGGCAGGATGGTCTCGATCTCCTGACCTCGTGAGCCACCGCACCCGGCCTGCCAAGTTGCATTTAACCAGACTGCAAAGAGGAGGCTTGCAGCAGGGAGTAGCATAGACTAAGAACACTGGGGCCCTTAGGGGCAGAGGGGCAGAGACATGTGGATGGGTCTCCAAGCTAGCCTGCAGGCAGAAGGGTCTTGATTTCTAGCGTGGTGCTCCACGTCTCCCCACTAACCAGGACACTCGGCCAGTGCTGGGGAGAGCCCCAGGAGGTGGCTAAGTGCACATTGGAGGACTGGATGGAGACTCCAGGTCACCATGTCCTGCTCCAGCCAGAGCCACAGTGGCCAGTTAAAGTCACAGTCTGGAATCTGAACTTTACCAACTGTGCCCAGGAGGGACAATGGCCTCACAGAAAAGGACGAGGGAGCAGGTGAGGTGGTGACTACACCTAGGGCAGGGCATGGCTAACCTCCAGCCTTGTCCTCACCGCTGTGGGACTGAGGCCTCCAGGCAGCTACCCTGCTCCATCCTCCCGCTCCCCAGATTCCTTGATGTTCCCCTCACACACTGCTGCATGCCACCTCCTCCACACTGGGTTTTCTGTCCCTATGTAGATGATGAATGGCAGTCAGAGCTTAGTATTCAAAAAAGCCAATGACTCCTGTCAGTGGGTCTGTCTCCTCTTAGCCAACAAAGAGAATGCTGGTTTGGGGGTTGTGTCCCTCTCAGCACTCACAACAAACACTATCTTGGTCGAGGATGCAAGAGTAGTATTTTCCTCACTTTTTATTTCCTCTGTGTTTTCACAGATTCCCTGCACAGGGTCTTAGGTAAGGGGCACAGAACCAGGGGCCACCTCAAGACCTGGGAACCTGGACTGAACAGACACACAAGGGACAGGGGCAGAGATGATGCAGGGACATTGGGGAACTGAAAGCACAGCCTTAAAGGGGCGCTGGGAGGACCACAGAGAACACTGAGGATCACGGATAAACATGACAAGGCCAAAAACATGGGTGACCCATGGGAAACATGGTGGCCCTGTAGTTCCACTCCACCCATTCCTACCTGACAAGTATCCCTGAGAGCAGCCTCCCTTCTGCTCAGGTTGGGCCAGGCCCTGACCCCTGACCCTCCCCAACATGGCTCTTATTACACTGTTGTCACATTTGTCCCCTCTGCCAAACCACACTCATCCACCACCCATCGCCCACTTAATTCTCCACTGACCAGGCCTGACCTGGGAACAACGACCAGCTTTTAGCTGTATCTGGCAGGCTACACTTAGCCACAGGAGTGTCATCTCCTGAAGTGACCTCAAGAGATGCACCATCTCATCCCTCTGCCTCCAAGCTCTGCTTAAATCCCTGCCGTGGCCGGTGGCTCACTAGCTCCAAGCAGCGCAAGCTCTCTCTCACAAGCGCAGCTCCTGGAGCTCCTGGGTTCCGGGGCACATTCCATGCGCTGGGGGCTGCGGCCCCCCAGGCTCGCGGCCATCCTGCCAGTCGCCCCGAGGCAGCCCTATGCAGGCCCCAGCTGCCGCTGCCGATGGCCCTGGCCACTCACCCCCTCCTCTCGGGGCCCCGGGGACTCGCCTGGGGTTGTAATGGAGGAAGGTAAATAAAATGCCAGCGACCGTGATCCGGGGGCTCATCCAGCGGGCCGGCCCAGGTCACGGGAGAGGCGCTGTGCCCGCCAGGGCCAGGATGGGAGTCGCCTGCGCTGAGGGGCGGGGGCCACGGCCGCAGATCACCCGGGCCCCGCTCAGTACCCAGCCACAGGGGGACACCGAGAGGCTTCCTGGGGCCCATTTCCGAAAAAGGAATGGACTTCCTCAGTCTCGCGGACCGGCCATCCAGGCAGGTAGGGCCGCCGAGTCGGATCGCGTTCTCGCAGCGCACAGGCTGTGGGGAGCACCATGCTTGCGCTCGGAAATTGGAGCGGCGCGCGCTGATGGCGTTACGAGGGTGCGCCCAGTAGCCCGGGGCTGCGCACGCGCCCTGCCGGGGCTGCTAGGTCTGGAGCCGCGCTGTTCAGACCCCGGCCGCCTGCACCGCCGTGGGCTCGACGCCTCGTCCGAGGTTGATTGGGCGACCTGGAGGTCCCTCGCGGTTACTGCCACCAGCCCCTGACCTTCGGGTTTCATCGCGAGTCCCCGTCCTCGCCTGCAGCCCCTGGATTTTCGGCGGCCCAGCCATATCGTCTACCCTCCCCGAGCCTCTGACGGCGCCTCCCGGGACCAGCGGAGGCCCACGCTGGAGGCTGCCTGGGCCATCCTGACTCACCAGCCTGAGGGGACACTCCCTGGCCTCCCGCTCCTCCCGCCCCTCCTTTCCCCTGCCTAGAGCTGGCCTGCGTGTCCCAGAACTGGGCTTCTCCCGCCTCACGTGCTCCCCACCGCACTCCAGATCGCTGCGGGCGCGGCTTCCTCGCCCTGGAACACTCTTCCTCTCCCCTCTCCTTTCCCCTTAATTCACACTGCCCTGCAGGCCCTGCCTGGCTCATGTGCAGGTGGGGTGCCTGTTTCCCTTTCCCGAACGGCGCCCTCCCATCCGGTTGTCTAACTGTGCCCTCGGACCCAAGCTCCCAGAGGGCAGAGCCTGGGCCTGTGGTTCACGCCTGTGTCCCCTCCACCGGGCTTGGATGGTCCTTGGTCACTGCTGAAGGAACAAAGGGAGGGAGGGAGGTGAGAGGGAATGAAAGACAAATGTACTTATGACTGCGTCTCTTCCTCCACTTGTGACTTTTTGTTCCAATGTCC